TTTCAGATACCTCAGTATTCCCGTCAAGAAACAAAAAATTCTGGAATAGCCAGGTGCTTGCAAATGCAGCAGATATTCAAGAGCCATGCTTGTTTTTTAGTTGTCTGTGAACCCCGAAAAGCACTTAAAAAGAGTGTTTCATGTAAATCGAGACAAAACTTATCTCACATGTTTATTTCGTAATCCGTAAAATCTAGTTGTCCTGGCAATTACACTGAGGCCATGATCCTATAACCAATTCTAGAGTGTAACTGCTAGAAAGCTGATTCATTTTTTTGCTATGAAGCCTGTAGTAACTAGAAGAGTCTGCTCAGAGTTCAACAGTTACTAATTTGTGTACCTTAAAAGGTTTTGAGGATCAGTATTTGGCCTTCTTCCAACTCGCATGAACAGAAAGGTTAATCGAGAATTGATTCCGCTGAGCAACAATCAAATGAGTTTGATATTTCATCCCATTGTAGCATCTAACGGCATTTCCGTTTCAAATTTTATTTTTAATTAATTATTAATATTAATTAATAGTTAATTATTAGTCAGAGGAGTTATCTGGTATAAACATGTATTCAAAATTATTAAAAAAAATCATAAGAAAATATCATACAATTGAAAAATAATATATGTTCAAATAAACAGTAACAGTTTGGTTTAAAAAAAAAAAAAGTAACAGTTTATTTTGTTTCTGTAGCTCTACTTTGTTTACTTTTTTTAATTCAACTCATTAAAATATTCTCTCAAACTCATTCCATTTCCCCCACATTAATATTTAATATCCTCATGCATTATACAGGTGTAAAATTTAGTTTATAGTAATTGTTAGTTTTCAATATCTGATAATTATTATAGTAGAAAACTATAATAAATATATGTGACTCAACTTTGGCAAAAGTTGACTAAGATGAGTAATCACTTTTTGATCCTAAGCTTTATCAAAAAAGAATATACTTACTGTTAAGTTAAAAAACAATGATTTATGGTTAGTAAACCATTTTTTCAAATTAACACAAAACAAATAAATTTTGCCAATTTTTTTTCCAATTTTCGGTCCACTTAAGCATGCCCAATTCACACTTCTATGATTGAGACGTATCATACTTTTTTTTTCTTTTTTTTATTTATTTAAGAATGCTTGTCCTCAAATAAGGAAAAGTAAATTGTTTTTCATTTTTATGCTCTGATACCCACTTAAAAAGATATTAATGATGAATGGATGACGGTGTCTAGGTGGTCATGACAAGAGAAAAATGAAGAAGAAGAAGACACTGTAATATATTATCAATTTTCCAATTTTCTTAATCTCTTGGATCTAATGCAAAATTATTTTTAATACTCCTCCGGTCCTTATTATAAGACCCTATTTGACTTTTTATTTGATCCTAATTATAAGACCCCAATCCATTTTGTCTCTTATATTTATGTATTTTTTTCCAAGATAATCCTTCTAATAATGATAGTTTTAGCCAATATACTTAATTAGCAAGGATATTTTAGGAATGACAACACTTATTTATTATAAATAACCAACTTAACTTACTTCCTTAATCTCCTCAAATAAGTCAATTGGGTCTTATAATTAGGACCGGAGGAGTACAATTTATGGATTTTGAAATGCAAATCCCTACCTTTGGCCAAAAAAGAAAACGAGAAATGCAAATCCCTAACCTTTGAACGAATCCTGACGTCTAATTACTGTTTTAATTTTTTTTATACATTAATTACTGTTTTAATGATAATTTTGCTGTCAACGATTTTATAGTATACGATTGACTTTGGCCCAACAACCAAAAAACCAGAAAATAATTTAATCTTGACAAATTGACATAACCGAAAAGCCTCCAAGGAAAAAAAAATTCTCCGTTATATTAATAAATATAATTTTAAATCAATCCCAGTTTAAGTTTTATTACTCTCCTACAAACTACCCATTAAATTAATTAAGGTTAATCAGGGTCAGCAATATCTGGAGTCAGCTGGCTGGGTCTTACATACATATACATATATATATATATATACTCCTCCGGTCCTTAATATAGGACCCAATTGTTAAGTTAGTTTTGATCTTAAATATAAGACCTATTTCTCATATTTATCAATTTTTTCTAAATTACCCCTATGAATACTTCATCAACCATAATCAAATAAGGGAAGGGGGAAGGATATTAAGAAAAATGATTATGATATTTTAGAAAAAACATGTCATATTTCTTATAATTACCTAACTTACCTAACTTTCTTAATCTAATCACATTAGTTAAATAGGTCTTATATTATAGACCAAAGGAGTGTATATATAAGGTTAATATAATTTTTAGTTCCTGAAATTTTAATCGATTTTGGTTTTAGTCTTTTAAATTTCAAACATATGATTTTAGTCCCTATAATTTAGTTCAAGACAGACTAAGTTTCAAGGACTAAAATCACAGGTTTAAAATTTAAGGGACCAAAACTAAAATGGGCTCAAATTTTGAGATCAAAAATTATATTAACCTTATATATATATATTACTAACTAATCTTTTCAATTCAAATTTTCAATCCAAACCAAACCAAGGGGGTTAGTTATATAAAGAAACACCAGAACATTTATGAATCTTGAAGATTTAATAACTTGCTTGGAATGGAATCAAATGGATTGACTTCCTTCTGTCAAATGTCAATGTCCTTTTCCCAAATTCCACATTTCTGAGTTCTGACTCTAATTGAGAGGGGCAAAAAAAATCACAATAACAATGAGTTTCAGCTCAAAATGAGCTAATAACGACATGAATATTACTGGATCATAGATTCATAGCTAATGATTTTACTTCCAGTAGGATCCTACGTCTAGAGTCTAATAAACAATGGCCTTACAGAACCTCCACAGCAATAAACAAGATAGTAATTAGTAATCCCCAAGAAGGCATATTATTCTTTTGTTTGATTTGCCTGCACTATATATCTCTGTGTGTGTGTGTAACTCTACAACTCTTCATTAGATATAAATGGAAACTCAATCAAAACTCTCGATTTCAACTTCAATAATGCAAGGTGATAACTTTGATGCAGCAAAATCATAGAAGCTCTGATCTGGAAGCGCCTTCACTGAGCTCATATGGCAATCAAATATAATTGATTTGTCCAGTTTATGGTACAACATTTATGCTTCACAAAGCTACAACAAAAAAGATGCTTTAGTTGAGAATATTTGTTTGTTTACGGATAGATCAGGTCCCGCTTGGAAGCAATCCGATATCATATTCACAAGTATTACATTAAATTGGGATATAGATAAATAAAAATAACATATTTCTCAGATAATTAGAGATAATAGACTTAGATATTTTTGTTGGCAAAAAATATATTTAGATATTTTATGCCAAATAAAATATCAGGTCCTAATTATAGACCCAATTGACTTATTTGAGGAGATTAAGGAAGTAAGTTAAGTTGGTTATTTATAATAAATAAGTGTTGTTATTCCTAAAATATCCTTGCTAATTAAGTATATTGGCTAAAACTATCATTATTAGAAGGATTATCTTGGAAAAAAATACATAAATATAAGAAATATTGGCTTATAATTAGGACCAAATAAAAGTCAAATTGGGTCTTATAATAGGACCAAGAGTATCAGAATAGAAACAGATATCAACCTTTACTACAGGAACACACAGAATATCAAAACAGAACTAAACTAAGCTTCCTATATAAAACAAAACACTGCTGAAAAATCAGTATTTTACATTGAGGGGGGTGGACGGGTGGGAAGTTCAATAATTGAATGATGCAATGAAACAGGAGAGAGAAAGGTTCACGGGCATGGCTAAGAGGAATTGGTTATTACATTCCTGTCTTTCTTTCTTGTCTTTTTTATTCATAATCTTAATAGTAAATATGGGATTATGAGTTGTTCATAGGTGGGCCAAGGTGGCAAGCGAGAGGTCCTAAATCACCACAGAAATAGAGTTCACGGGTGTTTCCTCTATGACACTGAATCACATTATTCAATAACTTAAAGGTTAAATCTTTGGTTAGTAATACCAATAAATTCTACATTAGTCATCATTTCTCATATGGACCTTCTCTTCCTAATGTGATCTTTACTTTCTAACAAAAATAAATTCTACATAACCGTCATAAACCTTTTTCATAAATAGTAAGATAATGAGGGATTAAATTGATGTTCTTGTGCTAACAAGAGTTGGTCAGTTGGTAGGAGTCGACTCATAACCCATAAGGTCTGAGTTCGATCCCGCTGCATATGAGGACCTTGTTGGTGGGCGATCTGTAAGTACCTCTGTAAGCGCTCTTTGAGGCATGCCCTGGCCCTGGTGAGCTCACCCAAACTCTTAAGTTTATCAAAAAAAAAAAATTGATGTTCTTGTCAGATTTTATTGGTTTTGCAGCATCATGAAATTCTAGCCACAAACTTGAGGTCCCCAAGGGGCCACCACTTCGTTAATTCGCAATCCCTAGTTTCCTTGCATGTCACTCCAAAATGCTACGGGACTGTACTTAGGATTTTACAGTAAATTTCTGGCAACTAGTATTTATTTAGTATTGGTACCTGTAGGTTAGGAGCAATAGCTGAGAGCTTCAGACACTATTTTCTCTCAGCGAATTTCCTGTATTACCTCCGACCTAAAAAAGAAAAGAACATTAATCTAATCAAGATTCAGGAAAGAAGACAGATTTAGAGAATGGAGATGAAGGGAAAAAGAGTTTTAGTTTTGCACAAAGGACAAGTAACTGTAACTTTAAAATAAGAATCCCTCAAGCACGTTGAAGGGCCACTCTGCAACCCGTGTCAGTAAGTAGTTTCTCCAAAACCATTAACAACACATCCGTGTTACATTTGCTTTTGGCTCCAAAGATATATGTATTGATTATTGAATAGCTGTCCATTTAAAAGAGGGAGAGAAACCAAGAATAGACACGTGAAAGGTGAAATGTATTTTTTTTTTTGAAAAAAAAGTAATGAAATATTGTATTTTTCTAATTTCTATGTCGAATTATATCATGTTAGAGTAACAGCAAGAACTAGTGCACGTGAACCATGGATACAAGTTCGAGGACTTTAGTGTCATTGCAAGGAAATTCCTTCTTACCACTCATTGTTGCAGTCTGTAGCTGAGGCAGAACCCTTTCGGATTAAATAAGAGAAGCAAAACCAAATGGGATCGGAAAACAAAGCGAGTAGAAGAAAAGACATTGAAGCAATGAAGAATCAAGGGTGTGAGGTTGAAGCGATAGGCATCAACTACAAGATCCGCACACAGAAAACAGAGCATCCTCTCAAAATCTTCAGCAAATTTCCAAAACAAATCGACCAAGAAAAAGAGCAGGAACCAGAAGAAGAAGAAGAAGCAAAACTTGAACAAGCATGCAGTGGGGGAGCGAGGCATGTCCTCAAGGATGTGAGCTGCCGAGCCATGCCGCAAGAAATTCTCGCCGTTGTTGGGCCAAGTGGAGCTGGAAAATCATCCCTGCTTGAGATTCTTGCTGGTAAAGTTTCCCCACAAAGTGGGTCCATCTTGGTTAACCAGAAACCTGTAGATAATGCTCTGTTCAGTAAGACTTCAGGGTATGTTACCCAAAATGATCTTCTGTTTCCCTTACTTACGGTTGAAGAAACCTTGATGTTTAGTGCAAAGCTAAGGCTAAAGCTTCCTCAAGATCAACTCTGCTGCAGAGTCAAGTCACTGATTCAGGAGCTAGGACTCAGCCACGTTGCTAAGACTCGAATTGGAGATAACAGGGCCCGTGGGATATCAGGTGGGGAAAAACGCCGAGTTTCAATTGGAGTTGAAGTTATACACGATCCCAAAGTGGTGATTCTTGACGAACCAACTTCTGGGCTTGACAGTACATCTGCTCTGCAGATCATTGAAATGCTAAAGGTCATGGCTGATTCGAGGGGCCGAACTATAATCCTAAGCATCCATCAACCTGGGTTCAGAATTGTAAAATTGCTCAATTCTATATTATTGTTAGCCAATGGCTCCGTGTTACACCATGGACCTGCGGATTTGCTGGGTGTCAATCTAAGATTAATGGGTTTAGAGCTTCCTCTTCATGTTAATGTTGTTGAATTTGCCATTGAGTCCATTGAATCCATTGAGAAACAGCAAAAGTGTCAGCGATTTCAATTACAAACTCCTCCAATATTACCAGCAACGATGCAGCAAAAGAAAGGTGATGTTCAAGGTGAGAGTAGAAGTGGTAAGTTTACTCTGCAGCAGCTCTTTCAACAATCAAAGGTAATTGATGAAGAAATAATCAACTCTGGAATGGATTTCACCTGTGATTTTGCAAATTCTAGATTGAAAGAAACTATGATTCTCAGCCACAGGTTCTTCAAAAACATCTTCCGCACAAAGGAGCTCTTTGCATGTAGGACGATCCAGATGCTGATTTCCGGACTCGTTTTGGGCTCCATCTTTTGTAATATCAAGGATGGCCTAGAGGGTGCTCAAGAAAGGGTAGGTTTATTTGCATTCATATTATCATTCTTATTATCAACGACCGTAGAAGCTCTGCCAATATTCCTGCAAGAAAGGGAGATTCTAATGAAGGAGACCTCTTGTGGAAGCTACAGAGTATCATCCTATGCAATTGCGAATGGCCTAGTTTACTTGCCATTCCTACTCATCCTAGCCATTTTATTCACGGTACCCTTATACTGGCTTGTTGGGCTTAACAGGAATTTCACAGCTTTTATGCACTTCCTGTGGCTCATTTGGTTAGTTCTTTACACGGCAAACTCAGTTGTGGTGTGTTTCAGTGCTCTGGTGCCTAATTTTATTGTGGGAAACTCAGTGATCGCTGGAGTCATTGGGTCATTCTTCTTGTTCTCTGGTTACTTCATATCAAAACAAGAAATTCCGAAATACTGGATTTTCATGCATTATATATCATTGTTTAAGTATCCCTTTGAAGGGCTTCTGATTAACGAGTTCTCCAACTCAGGTAAGTGCTTAGAGTACATGTTTGGGGCGTGTGTGATGACTGGCGAAGATGTGCTTAAAGAGGAAGGGTATGGGGGCGAAAGGAGTAAATGGAAGAATGTTGCGGTCATGTTGTGCTTCATCCTGTTTTACAGGCTGGTTTCCTATATAATTCTTAGATATAGATGCTCGCAGAGGACGTCCTAAGGAGTCATCGTATGAGGACTGTGGCTTACTACAACACCCTGCCACTCTCTTGCGGGTTCACATGTCTTGGATTTTTCTGCATATAGAAATCAAAGAAGATGTGTCACATCAACACAAATATATAAACTATTACAGGTTTGGTCAGTACCAGCAAATTGTACTAACTTGATATATGTTGGTTTCTGTTTTTTTAATGAATACTTAATTCACATAATCGTCTCTCTCTTCTCCATCTAGATTCCTCCAATGCTCACATTTTTCTTTTTGCATACATGTCCTCGCCTAATATCTAATCCATCAGTTTTGTCTCAACAAATAATGAAATAGGGTCACAATTGAAGGAAGAGCTTTTTGAGACAAAGACGACAGCCGAAGCTTGGGCTTTTTACCAGGTTATCGGGTAAGCTTAATCTCAATTCAGCCTTTGTATTATGCTTACGTATGATAAAAATGCAACGATTTGTCATTTGAGTACAATGTGAGAATCATTGTCTTCTCAGATGCCTCAGTATTCCATTTAAGAGGGGGAAGTAAGATTCCCTGAACAGCCAAGTGCTTACGTATGTTCGGATGTGTAAGAGTGATGCTTGTTTTTAACTAGTTGTCCTGGCCATCAGACTGAGGCCAGGATCATATCACCAAATCAAGTGTGTAACTGCAGGAAAGCCGGTTCTTCTTGGGTTCAACATCTACCGATTTGTGTACCTCGAAAAGCTTCGAGGACCAGTAATTCATTATTAATGTCCGGTCTACTTCCATTACAGCATATAGTGGCATTTCCGTTTCACATTACAAGATTAGTTCAAAATCACTTTCCTCCCCAGTGGAATTGTCATTATCAATTTCTGGCACATAGCCAGCTCCCTTCATCTGTTCCAAGAGAATTTTAATACTGAATATATGCCCTTTTCCCAAGGATGTATCTTATCTTTTGCCATGAAAACATGCACATGACCGTGAATTTCAATCCAACTACAACCAGGCTGATTAATTACTCCTTGTTATCTCATCGGTTTCCGGACTCTCACAACATCTCTCTCTACCAAGCTCAGCATACATACTGAAAGCACAACAAAATGCGTTATCCAACACAAGGTCCTCCCTAAAGTTATCACATTTAATCAAACGAGCATGAATTTGCAAACCTTCCTTAATAGCCGACAAGCTTGCACAAGCACTGACTCCACTGGCTAGAGTAATCTCATTTGGTCCAATCCCATTGTTCGTCATCCTTACAAAAACCAGAAGGGCTTGACCCGCAGCACCATTTTGCTCGTATTATGTGATCAAACTGTTTCAAGAAACTATATTTCGTTCCACCATGCCATCGAATCCATTCTGAGCACAGGCCACCGCCCCACATTTACCATACATGTCAATAAGAGCAGAGCCCATGTAAACATCAAACGAGAAAGGAGACTTTAAAATCAGAGCATGGATTGTACATCCATATACAAATCTACTAACACTGCACGGGCACTGAGAGCGCTGTCAAAGGAATACTCGTTCATCACAATATTACCACCGTGCAAGCCAACATAAAGTTTCAGAGCATCAAAGCGCTCATGTTGGGCACAGCCGGATACCATGGCACTCCATGAGCACTGATCAGGCTCCGTCATTGACTTAAAGATCCTTGCAGCCTCATCAAGATTACCAGACTTTGTCAATGTACTAAAAATAGCGTTCCAACTAGAAGTATTCCATTGAGGCATATGATCAAACAGTTTGAGCGTATCATCTAAACAGCCGCATTTCCCATAGGCATCAATCAACCTATTCTGGGTGAAGATTTCTGAGGAAAACTGGGTCTTAATGACTTGAGCATGAATACGACGCGTGTCAAGTCCAAATTTTGATCGGATACAAGATTGAAGATTTCAAAACCTTTGCAAAGGGAGAAGAGCCGAGGAAAGAGACGTCACCAACCAATTGTTTGACGAAACCATGTCTACCAATGCCATAATCTTCAAGAAAGCAAGCTTTCTATGTTTGCAATGCCAAGTCCCACAAGGCACTGCCCAAAGTCTTCATAACATGTCAAGTGATTTTATACAAGTCAGGGGGGATTGGCTTCATAGTCTGCAAGTGAGCGACTGGCATCGCGGCTGAAACATCTGTGATTTTAGTCTACGCTTCTTCGCTTAGGAATCAAGTGACCTTAGGCCCTGTTTCTCGTCATCTGTCATCATAATTACTCCTCCGGTCCTAATTATAAGACCCAATTGACTTATTTGAGGAGATTAAGGAAGTAAGTTAAGTTGGTTATTTATAATAAATAAGTGTTGTTATTCCTAAAATATCTTTGCTAATTAAGTATATTGGCTAAAACTATCATTATTAGAAGGATTATCTTGGAAAAAAATGCATAAATATAAGAGACAAAATGGATTGGGTCTTATAATTAGGACCAAATAAAAAGTCAAATTGGGTCTTATAATAAGGACCGGAGGAGTAAAATAGTTTTACGTAAATGGAGGTAAATTTTTACTTATATTCTATAAATTACTATTAAAAAGCTACTTGCCTACTTATAAACTATTCTAAACAAGCCTTTAGACCCGCTCATTTTAAAGACACCATGATAGCAGAGAATGGGAATGCAAATGAAATAAATAAAATTAAGAATATTATTCTAGTTATATATTTAATTTGACAAAGATATTATTAAAAAATTGATGCCATTTAAAAATGGAAATTTTAGAGAAATTTTTCTATTATAAACTTTATTACCAAAGTACTCAAATCCTTGAAGAATGACAACTTTTTTTTTTAACCATGTTTAACATATTTTCGGTTATTTATTAACTGTTTTTATTTTACAAAATATATATTACATAAGGAACAAAAAATCAAACTAGTACTAAACTAGTTGAAGTAGTGGTTCAAGAGTCAGTGAGTCAGATCAGAGTCAACTCAAAGTCAAAACATTCATATTAAAATAATATAATTTAACTTAAAATAACAAAATATAATAACATTAATAATCACTAATAACAAAATATAAGAAAATACAACAATAATTTGATTGCAACAATAACAAAGTACAACAATATTAAGAATATTTATCTTTATAATTCCTTAAAACTAAAATAAATAATCATTGATGGCAAAATTATCATTAAAATTCATTCAAAATATAATGACTGAGATATTAGTAGCTGAATGAGGAAAAATAAAACCAATAAGAACATAATTATCGAAAGTAGGTCATCATTGGTTTTCACCAGTTTATTTCATTTTGATCAAGTTGATATTGATCCAATTTCTGACCAGTGTGACATTAAAACCAGGCTTGATCACTGATGGGTTTTCTTGTTGAACTTACCGATTCGTCTGGTTTTTTTGTTCATTGATATCACTTTTAAACAATAAATATTGCAATGGGTAATTTTTCTACCATTTTCTCTTCAAAATAATGTTAAGATAAGATATAATTAATAAAATATATTTAAATTAAAATAAAATTATCCGTACCCCACATTTTTTTTACTTTAAAAAAGAATTAATACAATTTTTGGTCCTCAAATTTATCCTCATTTTGATTTTAATCTCTCAAATATCAAACCATAGGTTTTGATCCATCAAGTTTCTTTCCATTTAAAACATTGGTCTTACAATTTAATAAATTTTAAACTATTTTGCTTCTTAACAAACTAAAACTTATAGTTTAAAATTTGATTAATTAAAATCAAAATTTATACAAATTTAAGAGATTCTGAAAAAAATTAATTCAAAATAGATCTTGAGCCCAAGGACCCAAACCAACTTCTTGAGCCCAAGGACCCGAACCAACACGGCTTCCAAGTTGGGGGCCGGCTTAGGTCAGAGATGGCATCATCAGTTCATCACAATTGGAGTGTCGCCCGTACCACGGCATTATTTCTTGATGAACACGCAAGATGTGGCAACGCCGTAATGGACTTCGCTACTCCACCGGAGTTATGTGCTCGTCTCTTGCAACGACACCAACTCACAATTATCAAATTGGCTGCTTGTTTGGAGTATCGGTAAGATGTTTCAAAAATAATTTTTTAATCATAATTTACAAAATACAAAACAAAAATATTAGTAAAATTTTATCTCAATTTATGTAAATAAGTGCTTTTAAGAGGTGAGGACTTGATTACTAACAAACATAAATAAAAATCATTTTATATTCTATTATACTAAATATAAAAACTAAGAACAGTATATACTATACCATTTTTTAATATAAAAATTAGTTAACTAATTTAAATAAATTTAAAAAAATTAATTAAATTATTTATTTATAATAAATAGATAATATTTGTTTTTAAAAATACCCTCACTAATCAAGTGCATTAACTGAAACTACCATTTGATAAAACTTTTAACATAATCAACTATTACAAGAATCACCTTAAAAATAGATAAATATAATAGACAAAATAAATTAAAATCTTATAATTAGATTTAAATTAAAAGTTAAACTAATTGCTATATTAAGAACAGAAAGTCGTATCATAAATACACAGGGGATTTATAATTTTTTTGAAAATATTTTCCCATTAAGGAGGGATATCATAAAAAGAAAATAATATATAAGATAATAATAAACATGACGTTATATTTAAAACCAAATAAACATGACGTCATAATCTAATAATGATAAGCACAGTCAAAGATCATGCTCCAGAATTTATGGTAACCAAGCTTTTTGTCGTTACGGACACCAACTTCTAGATGACATTCCTTCCCCCAGTGAATGCGTCAAAATCACAACAACCCAGTTCCAACGCCTCAAACGAAAGCCAGGGTTGTTTGTTCCATCACTTGAATGATTACGCGAGTTTGTCAAGAAACACTGTTGGCAACTCATTCCTAAGAATAATCTGGACCTAGGCAAGGGATAAAATTTGAATAAATAAAACCTTGTCACCAGAAAAAAAAAATGGTAGGTAGAATCCAAGCCATGCCAGCTTCTGAGAAAGAATTCCGAATGGTGACAGATGTTTTTTTTTTTTTTGGGGGGGGGGGGGGGGAATCAAATCCGACCATTTACTTCAACTCCCAAATAAGACGGCAAAGACTTGTGTAATGTGCTTCACAAACCCCATCTAGAAAATGACATTGACTTCATTTCTCCGTTCCCCACAATCTGGACCTTACTATCTTCTCCCACTTCCCTCCTCTTCATAATTGCCTTCCGTTCGCTTTTCTCTGCTCTCATTCAATTGTGATTGCATGCTAAATCATACACAAGAACTCATGGGAGACCGCCATGTCTCTTCTTCCCCACCTAACTACCATGGACAGAGCCGCCATGGAATTGGAGGAGATAGAGAATTCAGTTTCTGGTGGTCATCAAATACAGAAGCCTCTGGAAATGATTGTGTCCATCTTCAAGGGAGCTCTGGAGAAGGCACAGCCTTTAAATCTAAGCATTCAAATTTGGTTCCTGGTAGCCACCATTGTGACAGTGTTTCTCATAATTCACGAAGCAAGGCTATTGAAGAAAGTAGGAAGGAGCTTATGCAGACGCTTCAAGACTTGCCTGACTCAGCCTTTGAGCTTTCTTTCCAGTATTTGGTGCAGCAGCAGCAGCAGCAAGCGTTGCAACCTGTTCAAAATGAAGCTTTCATCGGCGAGAAAATAAAAAATAGTGTCGATGAAGCTCATGTTAGAAAGCAGGATAAAAAGAAGGAGAATGAGGAGAAGAAGAATAATAATAAACCAAATCAGATTTTGCGAGTTGAAAGCATGGACAATGAAAATTTCCTCATCAAGATGTTCTTCCCATCTTCTTTAGACTGGAAGAAGAAGGCAAAAGTGGGGAATGTCTCCAAGCTTTCTCCAACACCATCATTTCACAACTCCGTAAGACAAATAGGCAAAAGGCAGAGGATAAAGTCTTCTCAGAGAGGAGATAACAGAAGCGACTTGAAGGGTCACGCAGATGAAAGCACCAATAATAGTCCCAAGACAAGCGGCAAAAGCAGGTACTGTAGGAATTTTCTTCACAGAATCTGATTTAAAAAGGCAGATCATTAAAGATCCTATTCCCATGTAAAACAAATTTTCCCAGTTGTATAATACCAACTGACGCATATATAACATATTGCTTCCAATTCCAAGGTACGCTGACGGCAATTTCTCGCTATGTTGCTGGCCCTTCCTTTTTCCTTCAAGAACAAAGAAACAGGGAGGATGAGAATGAGATTTAAACAGGAATGCTTGAAGGTTGCCACACTTAAAAACACACGTTGGATGGAAGAATAGCACAGTTAGAAACTTCTGAGGTACCCATGAATTCTTCAATTGGAGTTGTAGCATTCACTAGATTCTTTGACAATCAAATCTGTTCATCTCATGCGATGAAACGAAGGATGAAGAAACTGTCCAGAGTGTATAGGATAATCAATGCTTCTTGCAATTTATCGCCTGAAAAATTGTTATAGCCAGTCCAGAGAGCATATGAACAAGATTGAGTTGAAATCGCTCTTGAGAGCATGCATTGCATTGTGAATTCTACTTTGCTCCTGTTTTCCTCTTACTCCTCAAAGATTGATATAAAGAAAGAGGAATCACGTAGGCAACAATCAAATGAAAAATAAATGAACGTGTTGGAAGAATTAAGAATTTTCATTTCACGGCTAAAAATTACATGAAACATTGATTTTGTTAAACTCGCTTGTAATATCATTATTCTTATTGTACAAGGTTGCTGTAAGTCAGGACAACAAACTCCTATTGAATATTGACTAGCTTGTCAGACATAAGAGTTCGGAGTTAGGACTTAGGAGTCGTCATCGTCGCACAACTGGGCCCCCCTCACTTTGGCCCTGCTCAAGAAAAATACTGTTATTAGGTTATGATTATAGCAGTAGGACTAGTAAAGTTTTCCGAGAATAATACTAATATTAACTCTTGCCTGCGATGAGCTGGCACCACACGGTTCTTAACTTTTGTGGAGCCTGTATCTCGAGTTGCTTGCTTTTCTGAAAGCCAATAATTAAGAGGGGAAAATTGTTAAGAATTATACATTTAGAATGTCAACTCAATAAGCCCCTCCGGAGGAATAAAGAAATGTAAAGTGTTTTGCAAAGAAAGCCTGACTAAAATCAGAATATTGCATTTGCATGCATCTCAAAAAGGGCAGGGCAAACCTTTTTTTTTTCCCCCCACTTCATTCACCAAAAATTTATTTATGCTCGAGTCTTGATACATTACAGATCCAAGACCATTATTCTCATTTTCCTAGAAGATGTAACCAGAAAGCCTAAACTATATGGATATGCCTAAATATCATATTATATTAACCACGAAGCAGTCTGCCGCAGAATTTTGCCCCTCAAAAACAAACTATGCCTTTAGTTATATTACATAGACAAGTCAGTAAACCCTTCAGAGATAAGTGGAGTTACAGCTTATGAACTATTCATTGGACGCAAACATGAAGGACATACTTTAGTTGAACAGAGAACTCACCTGGAGAGTTTTGCAACCCATTAGTAGAGACATCTGCCTTCTCCAAGACACTAATCTTTTGAAACTTCTGTCTCTGTTCCAATTGTTGTATGCTTTCACTTTTTTCCTGACAAACAGAAGATGTTCACTAATAAGCAGAAAGTTGCACAAAGGAAACACATTCCAATTTTACTAAGTTTTTATTAGCAAAATAAGATTAACTTACAAATTTCAACCTCCATTCTAACCATCAGAAATTAAAAAATACATGTCATTCTTTACAATCCTAAAGGCATAAGATGGCCAAAAGTTTCCCATGACTTAGATGAAATGCAAAGTCATTCACCAAAAAAGAAAATGTAATAGGCATGTCTAGTTTATAATTAAACCTCATGTGGCTACTGTACCTTTTCAGCTGCTATCAGCTTTGTCAACTGTGCATTGCGCTCCTGCTCTGAAGGCACAATATATGAAGCTGAAAGTTAATTCTAGCAAAGACCAATATCGAACTAATTTGGGTCAAAATTTAAGCCTACTCTGTTCCAATCTAATAAAGATGCACGTATAAATAACACAATCAATAGCTATGATACAAATAAGATTTTAAGAAGTTGGGCAGATGACATGCAATGAGTCTAATAGACAACTATCCAAAAAGATCATGGTCAGTGGCACAAATATGCACAAAATTATCGATACTGCAAAGTCACAGGTCCTACCATTGAAATCAAGACTTAGGACTAAAGAATGAGTTACATATTTCAAAACAGAAAATATATTATATATTCCAATTAGCACTAAAGAATGCAGGATTTCTTTTTTGCTTGACCAAGAAAGAATGCATGATATTGCATACGACATCTAACATGGACAAAGAAACAAAAGCGCAAGGATAATTTTATTTAAAAAAAAAAAAAAAAAACCTAAATTACTCGATCTTCTTCAACAAGCAGCAAAGAGAGCAAGGGGAAATATTAACTATGGAAATATATACCCACGCCACCCAGTTGTAAGTAACTTGTACGATAAAACCACACATAGACTGCAGTATCATCGCTATTATCTGTCTGGCAAATAACAATAATAGCATGACCATTATTAAAACAGGTTAAGCACATGTTATCCATAGGAAACACGATCTACATACAAAATCGGAAGATAATTTTTCCAAAAGAAAGAAAAAGCTCAAAATGCAACGTATTTTCCCCAGTAAAGCACTATTTCCTGTTCAACCTCAAGGGGATTTGTTGACATATAAGGTTTATGTGCCAATTATGCAATTAGGCCAACTCAACGAAATGATGTCATAGTCATTAAACTTCTAATGCTAGAAATAAAGACTAAAATCAAAATATTGTACTTTATTAACTATACAAATTTAATTTGAAAAAAGCACAAAAAGATCAACATCTACAAATGTTCTTCAAGAAAAGGGTTTTCTTTTTTTTTTTTGGGGGGGGGGGGGGAGAAGGACAATGGTGTGACTGTAACCTTCTTTGAGAGAGTTCTTGATGCTTTTGAATGCATTAAAGAGCCTCAAGGATAAATTTGACATAGCTTCTCTAGCAGCAGAGTCTGCAAGTTTAGTAAGAGGAATGCTAATCACAGGCATTCCTTTTGATTTCTGAGCAACCAATCTTGCTTTTTCATGAGAAACACCTGAGATAAAACCCACGTATGGTGACCGTGCCAACATAAAACTACTTCTGAACACCTACAGCATGACATTCCTTTTCACAAGGATCATAGTGCTTCAAACAAACAATAGATCCCTACATATACCTCATATTCCAATATTGCAGAAAAGATAAAATCACAATCTATTTTTGAAGTTATAACCACCACCTTTGAAATATCACCCAAAAACTTTTATCACAAAAGGCATGAATTGTGTACCATTATGACAAATTATCGACAGGATAACAAATACCCAACAGTGGCAGGGAAAGACCATAAGTAATTTGCTTTTAAAACTAGTAATGACACAATTCCCTCAATAGATAAAACAAGAGGGCTGTAAAGAGCAAATAAAAGGATACTTTTGATCTTACATAAATCCTATTCAATACTATCTTCCAACTGAAGATCACAAATCTCTTCAATGATAACAACAGTTTTAGCTAACTCAACTGATTACGTTTGGAACCGCCTTTTTAAACCCAACACAAGAAATTTAAATCATTTATCTTGGGAATATTAACGTTTCAGTTCATAGTCAAGAAACCATCCAGTAATAACCTATCAACTTGCATAGGCCTATATCTACAAGTAGCACTTTCATGACACATTAACTTCAATGCCACAAAATATATCTTCTTTAATAATAATCACTTTCAAATTTCAAAGGCAAGAAACAGACAAGAAGGATAATTACCGTCAAAATCTGAATTTCTCTCTAGAACTAACTTCAGATCTGCTGACTTGATGGAAGTTATGAAATAGTCAAAAAACTCTGACCAAGAGCCCCCTATTCCAGTGATGTCCCTCTGCACAAAAGCTAATATCAAAGACCACAATGATGCTTCAGAAATGCTAAGCAAATTTACAATTAAGATGATATATATGCATATTCTCAGGATCAAAAGCATCCTCTCATTATTATTTTCCACAAAATCAAGAATATTAAACAGAAAACAATTATGGTTAACATATACTCTCTTAAACAAACCAAATCACTAGCTAGCAACATTTTCCCAATAGCAACGTAAAGGCTTTAAAAACTAAAAATGAAGCAGAAGCAGGTATAAGGCAAATCAGAATGCTCACAATGTCCTCAAGTCGAGAAACTGAAAGATGAGCTTCCCAAGTATCAGAATGGAAATCGGTGGCATGAATTACAAGGTGAGAAGAAACAGGAGCATATGCGTGGAGCAGGAACTGAGGCAGAGGAGAGGAAGTTTGAGCTGAGAACTCTACTTTGGGTTCGCAAAAAATGGGTTCGAAGTCCTCAAACTCCATTGCCATTCAAGATTATCCCTCGCCAGCTACAGTCAGTTACTTTGTAACGAAACAAGAACAACTTGAGTCAGACAGAATCCCCAGCAATGTTTATGTGATATGTAGCCACGCATTTATATTTTCTACAACTTAAAAGTTAGCTATCTGGGGAACATCGGAAGCAATTTACTCCATAAAGACTTCTTGCTGCCGGATGCTTAGGTTGATATGTTGTCGCAAGTTTATTTACAATGAATCCCTCTGTTGCAACGAGCTAGGACGTAATCAGAACTTGAAGAGGGGAAAACATGCGAATAAAAACATTTCGGTCCAATCCCACAAAATCATTCCCATCAGAAGACAAATTATCTATTTTTAAACCTAAAACCCACAGAAACTCTTTTAATTCCATCCTTGGCTTCCCTGGGAAGAGACTCCGATATCCTTTAACCTTTTTTTCTCACTTAACAACCAAACAAAATCAAACAGAGGGGGGAAAAAAACAACAACAACACTTAAAAAGTAAGAACTACAGATAAATGACACTGGCAGCGTAAGAAAGAGGAATACCAGCAAACCCGACGACGTCGAAAAATAAGGAGTGATTTGAAGCTTACAAGTTTACAACCAAACCCCCCCGGAAGAAACCGAGACGGTTTCGAGAGAAGCAAACGCTACCCTCAACAATGAGAGTCCATTATTATTTTTTAAAAAGAGAAGATTAAAAAAAAAAATCTCTTAAATGATAAAATGGGCATTTGGGCTTTTAAACCCCTCTTGTTTAACCGGCTTCAAAAGGTCTAAGTCCATTTTCACGTGGATTTTTTTTTCCTCCAACCACCTTGTTCTATTAAAAAAATTTAAAAGTGACTGAAGAAAAAACTGTTTTTTTATAGTGTTGATGCATCAAAAATTGATCTTTTATTCATTGATGTAGGGCTGGAGGTACAATTTGTTAACTTGATCATGAATTGTGTTACCTCTGTGTCTTACAATGTTTTGTGGAATGGCTCTCCTACTAATTATTTTCTCCCTCAAAGAGGTCTAAGGCAAGGAGATCCTATTTCTCCCCTTCTTTTTGTACTTTGCATGGATAGACTCTCGCATGTAATTGGTGATTCTGTGAATATTGGAGACTAGAAACCAATTATGATCACTAAAAATGGGCCCGCTATCTCTCATCTTATGTTTGCTGACGATCTATTGCTCTTTGGTGAAGCTACAGAAAGACAAGCTCATTGTATGATGTCTTGCTTGAATCGGTTCTGCAATGCCTCAGGGGAGAAGATTAGTAAGCCTAAGTCCTCTATTTTCTTTCCCCTAAGGTTAAGGCTGACTTGAAAAACAGGATTTGTGCTATTACTGGCTTTAATGTCTCTTGTGATATAGGCAAATATCTTGGGTTTCCAATCACCAGAAGGAGGAAGCCCAAGGATACTTTTCGATATATAGTAGACAATGTAAGAGCTAGACTTTCAGCTTGGAAGGAAAGCTGTCTTACTACAGCTGGACAGATTGTTCTAGCAAAGTCAGTGCTTAGTTCTATTCCTCTCTATCCCATGCAAGTGGCTAAGATTCCTGTATCAAGCTGCTTGGAAGTCGAGAGACTTCAAAGGAAGTTTATATGGGGTAGTTCTAATAAAACCCATGGGTTCCACCCTATTGGTTGGGAGCAAGTCATTCAGCCAAAACTTCAAGGAGGTTTGGGATTTAAAAGACTTTCAAGTTTGAATGATGCCTTCGGTGCAAAATTAGCTTGGAAACTCATTTCTGGTGAGCAAGGCTTATGGACTGATGTTCTCTTGCATAGATACATGGTGAGGAATGAGAATAATTTGCTGGAGGTTAGAAACGGGGATTCTCCTATTTGGAGATTTATCTCCCAGCAACAGCATCTTATTGACATGGGCTCGAAATGGAATGTGAGAAATGGGAAATCTGTTCACTTCTTCACCGATAAATGGTTACTAGCTAATAATATTATTAAAGATTTCTGCCTTAGACCTCTTACTACAGAAGAAGAAGAAAGCAAAGTAGCAGATTGGGTTGCCTATGGGACTTGGGATTTTACAAGATTAGCAACATTAGTTCCTGCTAATATCTTGCAGAGTTTGATCGCTAAATTACCTCCAATGTTGGCAGCGGGGGAGGACTCCCTAACTTGGGGAGCAACAACAAATGGGATCTTTTCCATTAAAAGTGCTTACTACTTGCTAGAACAAGGCAAAGATTCAACCTTTCAGAAGGTCTATAGAGCCATCTGGAAATGGAAAGGCATTGAAAGAATTAAAGTGTTCATGTGGATTGCGTTCCATAATAGACTTCCAACCAAAGCTTGGAGGAGTATGTGGTCTGCTACCTCCCCAATATGTGATTTTTGCAATCAGGCAACAGAAGACACTCTTCACATTTTACGTGATTGTCAATTTGCTAGTGATCTTTGGAAACAGATTTTGAACCCCCGATACTACCATTCTTTCTTTGCAACCTCTCTACAAGAATGGTTTGCCCTAAATCTCAAAAGTGATCTGAGTTCTAATATGGATGGCTTTTGGGACTTAGTTTGGGGAGTCACCATTTGGAAGATTTGGAAATGGCGAAATGAAGCTCTCTTCAATCCACAATTTACTCAACCTAAGGAGCCAGCTACGATCATTATGCACTGCTGGAAAAGCTTCGTGCAAGCTAATGAGGTATTGTACCAGGATTCTCACTCCTCGCTAATGTGGCAACCCCCTCCTGAAGGATGGATTAAGTTGAATGTTGATGGGGCAGCTTCTTCATCTACTCATAAAGTTGGATGTGGAGGAGTCTTAAGGGACCATAGGGGCAACTGGATAGCTGGATTCTCTCATTTTATAGGATCCTGTGATGCTGGAGAGGCAGAACAGTGGGCTGTCTATAAAGGATTACAATTGGCGTGGGACATGGGATTTAGAAGAGTGATGTTGGAATCTGATGCTCAACAACTGGTACAATTATTAAGAAAGAAGGAGGTCAACGCACTATACAGCATCCTTCTACTACAAATACACGACCTTTTGACGTTTCATTGGCAAGTGGACATTCAGCACATTTCCAGGGAACGAAATCAAGTGGCAGACGTTCTTGCAAATGAAGGTCTCAATAAGTCTTCTCTATTGAGTTCTTGTCCGCGGTGGCTTATTAACCTTGTGTCTGCAGAGAGTATGGGATTTGAATCCCCTTTTGTTTAATTCTAGTTTTTAGTTGGGCCTAGCCCTTTCTCTTGTAGCAAAAAAAAAAAAAAAGATCTTTTATCGAATTAAGATTCAAATAGTGCCATTAAATACGATTGTTCAAATTTAAATAATAAATGTTCAGATGTTACCTCTAAAATTTGAGTCGTAAAATTATTATACGTACCCTGACCATTTGTGGTATGTGTTGTTTATACCTTAAATATTTGGTATTGATCTGTTCTTTATTTGTATGTCATTTTGTGGCAATTTTATTTGATTGATACCTTAATTTACAAACATGTAATTTGATATTTCAAAAAAGCTTGCAAGTTATAACTTATAAGCTTGTGTGTTGAGAATTGAATCTCTTTAAATTGGAGTCTATTCAAAAAAAAAAAATTTGTCTTGGGAGAATAACATTTACGAGATTTAGGGAAATATTTTGTTAGAAACTGGCTGTGTCTTTTTAGATCCTATAGTTAGAAATATGTAGCAATAAGAGATAGACAGACAAAAAAAAAATTCCCATATACTTCTATTTTTTGTCATCCATCCGTTTCGTAAATCCAGCTCTAAAACAAATGTTGAGAATTAATGGGATTCTATGAAATTACAAATATTGCAGTATATTTACACGAAAGAGCAAGAAAATGATGATGACAACAAAATAAGCATACGTATGATAACACACATACATACATTTGTGAAACTTGTAATAAAATAGGAAAATGAAGAAGCGACAAGAAATACTCCTTATTACAAAGACTTCCAACATGTTTTTTGATATAATACATTTTATTTGAAGTAATAATTTTTTCTCTTTCCAATATCTGTGATAAGCTATAAAACTTTCTAGAGAGAATTACAATGGAATTACATTTTATTAACGTAAAATGACTAACATGTCATTGTAAATAGGACTGGATGAAACATAACGATTCAGGAGTGAGCAGAAGAGGGATGACCGAGTGGAAGTACGAGTATGATCAATCAGAAGGATTCGATTTGTGTATTGTTTAACCCCTCCTCTCTTAGGTGATGCCACCTTGGCCGTTGCCGCCTTCTTCCTCGATTTCGCCTGCTGATCGTCTATCGAATCTTTTAACCTCGTATCCACCATTAATTGGCTATGCTCTGACCAGAGAAATTGTATATAATTAATGAATAATGAACTTTTGTTTGCATTTGTGTGTCTCTCTCTCTCTATTTATATGTGGTGGGAGCCAGCGGAGTGTGGCGGGAGCCAGCGGGGAGGAATGTAAGAATTGTCATGAGTTTCGAGGCATGTAAGAGTCGACATAGAGTTTTTTTTTTTTTGGGACTGAAGATTCGACATGGAATGCTTTTTTTTTTTGACTGACGAGTCGACATAGCTGTTTTGATTCTTTTGTTTTTGTTAATGCAACGGAGCTTAAGAGGATGTTTGGATAGAAACCAAATTATAGTTTTAGAAGTGCTTTTACAGATTACGAAATAAATATATAGAGGAGGTTACTTCGTTTTACGAAAAAATATTCCTGAAACTACAGTTTTGATAATGCCAAACACCCCCAAAACCCAAAAAGAATCCAAATTAGCCTTCACCAGACCCGGCACGCGCTTCCTTGGGCATTAAACTATCCCCTTCCACTTTCGATCTCAACATAGGACGCGACAAATCAATTTTAGGTGGGTCCCACGTGGTGGACGATTTACACACCGTATGCGTGGCCTCCACGTCTCAATGCACTGCACAGATGTACGGTTTAATGAAAATTTATCCTGAGCTGAAAGTTTTTCCAGGTTTAATATCTTCTTGAAGGTTTTAAATCATAAGAGGCACAAAATTAATATGATTTTAAATTTTGTAGAGTGATATTAAACCCAAAAAAAACTTATGAATACCCAGAAGTTCCTAAACGAAAACTTTTATGATTAATTTACATCTTTATCCTTTAATTTATATCTTTCAAATTAGATTTCAACTGCTTAATTTTTTTATAATTAAGAAATTAATCAACACCCATTTAAGTTGGCATAACCGCATGAGTAATACAAGCTCCTATCATTATATACGCGGAGTAGACGTAATTGGGAATCTTGTGTATATGGAGCAAACATAATTGGAAGTAAAGTTGTTTTTGTTTACTTTGTAACCGTGACGGATCTCAAGTGTTAACTTTTTAAAAATATTTTTATATTCATATAACTAAAGGAAACTCTCATTAAAAATCACCTAAAATAGAAATTTTTTTAATTAAGTCGATAAAATTCACAAATTCTTAATTAGTCCATGAATTTAATTCGGGACGTGTGAGTTTAAAGTCTTTTACCCAATTACTTTTAATGTTTTCTTCAAAGCCGCCTTTCTGTTTTTTTTTTTTTTGGGGCAAGGGCACCGCTGCC